TTTCTTATCTATTTTTATATAGCTAGTAAGGAGTGTATCTAGTGATATAAAGAAAAATTATATGGAGCAATACATAGCCAATGAAGAAGGAAGATGAAAATATATGTTCATGCTATATTCACTCTAGTATTCCATTTGATTTAAATCTCTTGCCACCAACACTTTACTTTCTCCGTTCATTTTTATGTACATATCTATTAAAAGTAATTATTATTATGATTATCAGGGTATGTATATTATAAATAAAAGTGAAAAACTATTTTTGAAATAGTGAATTTAACTTCAAAACTAATAATTCAATGGACTACGTTTATACCCATTGTTTTAGAAAAATTAGGAAGAAACTCCTTCGTTTGAGGGAAAAGAATAAAAATAAAAAACAAAGAAGAAATATCTTACCAAAATCATATGCCTTTTTTCATATCTATTTAATATTATTGTCTCTCCCAAATTTTTTTGTCACTGTTAACTAATGAAAATGGTAAGAAAAAATATGAGTGTGATTTGATGAATGATTTGCTACAATTTTTTCACCAACTCTTTCTTATGAGGAACCTCGACTTTCGTAGAATTTCTAACTGAATCAATTTTTGCAATTAACACTCGAGATTTTTTAAGAAGAAGAAGAGTAGAGAACTTAAAGAAATTGTAGTTTAAAAGTTTGAGGAAATCCCTCTATTTATAGCTACCAAATAGTAGTATGAATAGGTGTTAATTGTGCCTTAGCCGAAAAGTCACAACCTTTCGAAAAAGTCACTGCTTATCGAAAAAGTCACAATCCTTTGAAAAAGGACAACTCATCAGAAAAGGCACAACCCTTTATAAAAGTTACAACCTTTAGAAAAAATCACAACTCATTGAAAAAGTTACAACCCGTCAAAAAAGTCACAACCCTTTGAAAAAGTCACAACTCATTGAAAAAGTCACAATCCTTTACTTTGAAAAGGTATCTACTTTCAATATAATAAAATTAATTAAATTAATAAATAAAATTAATTGGGTATTATAGTAATTCAACATTCAAGTTTGGGAGTTCATGCTTTTAAGGTAATATATATATATAGATAGATATATGATTATCAATCTTATCATATTTCGCATCTTGGATACATCTTAACTAGTTATATATAATTAAGTGTATCTAAATAAGAAATGTAACTGAAAGACACAAATTAAGGAGAAAATCATCAAACTTACACTTCTTCTTCTGAAATGTGGATTTTTGTGTGACTGAACTGTTATTTTATGTATTTGATATAGTTTCTTCTATTTATCTAATATATACTTAATGATCAAATGTATCTGATTTGTTCATTCCATGTATTTGAACCGTTCTTCTATGCATTGTAACTGATGTAGTTTCTTCTATATGTATCTGCTGTATATTTAAGTAATGATTAATTAGGTATATTTGTGTATCTGAACAATTCTTTTATGAATCTGATATAGTTTCTTATATGTATCTGATATGTACTTAATGATTAGATGTATATGATATGTTCATTATATATAATTGAACTATTTATTTTTTATGTATATGATATATTTTGTTTTACATATATATTTGATAAAACTCACCTCAAAATTGACGAACATAAAGAAGAAACAGTGCTTGAAGAAGAACACGAAGTTGAACTCTAATTGAAATTAAACTCATCTTGTAGAGTCCCATAAAGTTTTGATGTCTACAAAATAATACTCCCTCCGTCCACTTTTAATTGTCATGTTGTGCTTTTCTAAAGTTAATTTGACTAATTTTCAAAGTTAAATTAGATTACATTAATTTGATATTTTAAACAAAAAAATTATATATTCAAAAACTATACGAAAAGTACTATAAATTGCAATTTTTTGCATATCAATATGATGAACAAAATATATCGTAAAATGTTAGTCAAAGTTCTTATCGTTTGACTCTATAAAGGAAAACCATGACAATAAAAAATAGACAGAAGGAGTATATTTTGTATATGTGGAGTCTAACTTGTTCATCTGAAACCAGTGGATGATTAAGCCAGAAAAAATGGGAAAGGAGTTATATGCCACTATTTTGTGCCATTATATGGTTAATTATCATAATTTTCTCATACACAATGTAAGTTGTCATATGCCATTATTTTGTGCACATACTAGTCAACTTTGATCAAAATCGAAATGTTGAGCATGTTTCATTTTATTTGTTGACTGAACTTGACCGCGCTTCACACAATCATATAAAGATATTAGTGAATCTATCAAATAACTATCTTATAAATTAAATACAACTCGAGAAGTTACATAAATTCGTTTACAAGTACAATATTTGAAGCATTCCGTAACTAAGTTTATATGAGAAAGGTTTTTCTTGTTTATAAAGGTGACACTTTGCCTGACCTTGAAATATAACATTCGACTGATGAACCAGACCAGTCAAAACGATAGAGAACGCATTCCAGCCTAATCTACTCTACAGAGTACAAGAGATGAAATCAACTCACAAAAGAAGTTAGCTTTGTCGTATCTTATTTTAAATTTCTAATACTAGGAAGTTGCACTTTGTATAGTTGGTAAGGGCCTTTTGCATCTTTGGGAAGCTCTTGAAATGTAGACACACATTGTGCATACTTAGCTAGGGTATCCGCAACTTGGTTAGCTTCTCTAAAGCAATGTCTAGCAGTACTTGTTACTGTACGTTGCAGTTCACAGAAACTGTGTATGCTATTATTATATCCCCTTTATAATTTCTAATGATGCCAGCTTTGCCAGATTCATGAATGTAACTTCCATATGTGTTAAGCTTTATATCTATTAGTAGCTCGCTTTGTTTAAAGAGGGATTAAAAATGATGGTGTTGCGTGTAGAAAAGCAGCAGGTATTATATTTTGCGTGCTCTTTAGTGCTTGTGTGTTGTTATTACTTGCTAGATCCATTTTGCTTACCAAAGTCGTGAGAGTGTCAATTTTTTTGTTGCACCACAAACAGCTAGCGTCTACCTCTCAAGAGGTTGGTTGACAAAGCATGGAGTCATTACTCCTCTCTCTGGTGCCCACAGATAGTCTGTATTCGTTGTGTAGGCTAGACCTGGAAACCTCCTTCCAGGTACACAGGTTGTGTCTATTTGTGGCTCTGAATCACAAGATGAGTTGGAACATCCTGTAAGACGAGTTGGAAATCCTACTTGTCTTGGAACATCCGGTAAGGCAAGTTGGAAATCCTCCTCGATGAATAAAAAGACGAGTTTGAATGTGCAAATTGGAACTTCTGGTAAGAAATTCAACACAAAAATCTTCAATATATATATTGTGGGAAAAGATTAGACAAGTACATTTATAAATATATATGACTTCCTTTTATAGCTAGTTATTGAGCTCCATTCCTCCTGTAGTAATTTCATAAGGTAATTAAGTGTATCCGACGTCTTTTTATAATATTTCTGCTCCCTATTTAAGAATTCTCTTGTTGTGATCGTTTTTCTTTTTGCTAATTGAAAGTTTGAATTTGGAGTTTGTTGTTTCCTCGTATTTACTGGTGAGCGTTTGCTAAAATTCAGGAAAAATTCTTTCATAATATATGGACGCAGGACAAAGATTGCTGAATGTGAAGGAAGGTTAACTAACTATGCTGACCATCCTAGTACATCTTTTCATTATTCTCAAGATTTTATCCTTTGACATTCTGGTTTTACGTACTGTCCAAGGATCTATATTGAGTTCTCTAACAGGGTCACGCTAGTTTTACAGGCCAAGGATCTCTATTGAGACTTGTTGCAGTAGGCGAGACTAGAGGTGTATCTGAGATGGATCTACTTTGGATTGAAGATGTTAATGACTTATACACGACCTAGACAATGCACGATAATTGGCTCAAGATAGCTAGCAAGAATATCAGAGATCAAAAACATCATGGTAATTGTTAACTAATTCTTCAAATTAAAACAACTAGTAAATTTGTGCTATCACTCGAACCTTGCTTCAGCTCATCATCTTGTGCAGCAGGGAAAACAGGCAGCTCCTTTCTTCGCATACGCCATCTTGTGCAGGGAAAACAGGCATGTTTTCTTTCAATATGGGGAGAGGAAATTCACGAAACCACTCATGGTTCAATGCAGTTATTCTCTTGTCTGGATCATAAGTTAGAACGAAATCAACCCCAGCCTCCTCCGATAGAACTGGTAAATCTAGAAACCCTAACCCTGGACCAGAACCTTTTTTCTCAACAAATTATTCTGCTGACCCGAGCAAGTTGAGAAAATTCAGGACCAAATTGTCTCGTTCGGTGTGCCAAGCATTCTGAAAATCTTGTGTTTTTCCGTCGAAGATCAACTCAGCCATGACGCAACCGACTGACCACATGTCGATTGCGATTGCAATTGCGGTAGAGAATTGTTTCGGGAGCCACACACTGAATGTCTATTGCGGTAGAGAATTGAGCCACACACTGAATGTCTGAGATGTTGGTGAATGATGCCATTATCATGACGCACTGCAGAAGCTGGAGCATCAGCCATTTAGTTTCACTCCGGCTGAATGAATGGCTGTTTACAACGTACTACTCCTCTATATATCTCATGTTTGGAATAACTTATCCCACCATTTATACCATAGTTAATTAATCTTGGGATAACTAGCTCCCAACCAATCGACCCCGTATACATCAAGGACCAAAACAATCCAATACCTATACATTAAGGAGTATTTTGATCATTTTCTTGACTTTAAAGGACGTATAGATTCATCAGTTTTACATAATGAATGAACACACCTAAATGAGTTGAGTAGTGAATTATCTGTTTGAATTCCAACATCTAGAAAAGCACAACTCTAGTTCTTCTTTAATTACGGAAAACAACGTAATCACAATAGTAGATTATAAATTTCCCAATAAACCCCTAATTCGAAAAGTTGAATTCTTGCATAAATAGTAATTGTTCGCCACACTTTATGTGGAATCCAACCCAGCCTTGTTAGTTTCTATATTTGACAACAACTACTTTATACCAACTTAAAAGCGGTTATACACATTATTATGCACATTAGGTGAACATGTCATGTTTGGCCTTCACAAGGCCACACTTTCAGATGCGAATGTTTGAAGTTATCAAGCTTCATATGCTTGATTCTGACCTTTTGCCCAAAGCAAGTATACTTCTATTATTATACCAAATCCAACTACAAAGTAACCTTCCAAATGGGCCCATAGTCAACTGCAACTAGTATGGGATAAAAAAAAACAGAAATAAAAAACTCTTAACTAGTTTGGGATAGAGGTGTAGTTGGTTGAGGGATTAATTCAAGGTGAATGAATTCCTCAAAAATGACAAAGTACTATCTACTGATGGGGTCCTCTCATGAGATGCTAATGGACTTTGTATCATGCTGTTTCTGTTCTGTTTGCCCAGGAATGAACCTGTGTGTCATCTGCTGTGGATGTGTTTTTTCTTGGCATCAGAGATATGAAACATGAGCTGCATTATCAGATTCAGATCATGATTAATACACACCGAGGATTCAAAACTACACTGCACTCTCAAATTCAAATCATAATCAACATGCATTGAGAAATTCAAAAGTAAATCATTGGATATATCTGGAGAGTCACCTTAGTTCCAACGTAAAACGTAATAAACATGCCGCCAAGAGTAGGTAGTCCTGAAAAAGGGAAATTTCATCATTCTAGTGGTAATGTGAATGTCCAGGAAAAAATTATAAACCATACAGTACCTTCTTTCTGGAGAAATTTAGAGAGCAACCAATTGATCCCCGATGATCCAATGACAAAACCAACAAGATTGGCAACCTTATACAAGAAAAAGAAAGTGTTATTAAGAATTGAATCTAACATCTTTAGCCTCAAGTGTTCCTAATTGTATTCAGTAACACGTAGTCCAATGGAATTGCAAAAACAGGTGTCACGTTCAACTGCTTTATTCTCCCACGATGGAATGGTCAATCTGAAGTTTGAATTATCTCATCCCACTTTCCAGAAGGTAACATGCATCTTTGTTGCTAGGCATTCCATACTAGAACAGCATACACTTTATGCACAATAATCTTGTGATCATATGTGGGCACAAGACAAAAAATGACGTAACAACATCTTCAGCTATTCAATTGATTATACGCAGCAAAATCCAAAAAGTTTATCTGTCCTGTTTCTTTTATTTAGTCTATTTTGAATTATCCATTGAAAAACTTTATCATTCTGAAGCAGTAGTGTTTCTTCTGTTTTTTTCTTTCTGTCATACATCAAGTTGACCTTCTTTTAGTACTTCAGAAACCTTAACTTACTATTAACTTGGTTAAATACACAATACAACGATAGGATAACTTAAGTATGATAAATGCATAAAGACAAGAAAATCCATTATTTTCTTAGCAGCATACCATGAGACAAGTGATGGTGACAGCCCCGGCAACAGCACTAAGTTCACGATACAGAAACTTCCCAACAGAACTTTCCACCTAGTGAGTACAATTAGATCAGTAACATGACACAACAACAAAAGATAATTTACTTGTTGGGAAAAACTATTCAGTTAACTGTATAAAAGGAAAGGAGTTGAATTAACACTCAAATGGAAGTACCTTCAAAGTATTTGTTGTTGACTTCACAATCATTTCTGGTATAAAGAATATGCAGGTCAACCATGCCCAAGAAAGAAGTTTCCTGAAGCCAAATGACCAACAAATACCCAAATAAAGACTAAGTTTGATACTGTAGTACAAGTGGAGGTTGATGAAATTCAGGGGCAGTACCACTCTAGATCATGCCATACAGCAACAAATGTGAAGATAACCCACACATTTAACAGCTTCGTCTGAGTACCCCCAAGAGGAATATACATATATCTAAATGTAGAGACATCACATAAAAATTTTGGGTCAGTGCAGGATCACACAGATAAAGCTAGATGAGTTGAGAAAGCACCTAACAAGCCATTTGTTAAACGAGGCATGCCAGTTTCTCCAAAAACTTTCCAAGTTGTAGCAATTATTTATACATCTAGGCATATTCTCAGGAGCCTCAATACCATTGATCTACAAACAAATACATATTAACAAGCTAAGAAACCCAAACAAATAAAGCATCATCCTCCAAAATAAAGAGAAGCAAAAGGAGCATAAGCTACAGAAAGTAATAAAAGTAATGGAGAAAAAGCACAATTTCAACAAAATTACCAGTGACCAGAAGCGAAAGTAGCGCCAAAGCAGAAAAAACTTGAGCCACATGAAGTTCAATACCTGCTTTGTCATGAAGTCATTACATGAATCGTACATCCTATTTTCTGGAAACCAGTGATCCAAAGGATCATCTTATATCAAGGAGATGCAATAAATGGCAAAGAGTGGCATGCCTTGGCACTTTAATGGCATAACATAAAAGTTATGTGAGATGGATGGTGTCTGAATTACAGAGACTCATTGAGCGGATAACACTTATTCAAACAAACATTGGCAAAGCATTTGAACATACAGGATCTGAACTGTAAAAATCAATGAAGCAACACATCACAAATTGAAGTTCTACGTATCATGAGTGAGAGTAAGTCTATCCTTTCAGAGTATTACCACTCAATAAAGACTTTTTTCCTCACTTCAAGAGGGAACTGTCACTAACTTCTCCATATGTACGAGAAACAGTTTGAAGTGTTTTCATTTACGTTTTTCTCTATGAATATAAACAGAATAAGCACTTACTAAGGCAATCGAAGACTTAGGTAGCTCAAAAATTCTAAATACAAACACTTACTCCATACCCGATGATGAAGATGTCCAAAGGAGATAAATATTTCCATGTGCCACTGCAAATTTACAGATAAATCAGTCACCCAGAATAACATCATAGCTTAGTTTAAAGCAATCAGAGTGGTCTGAATTACATAACCTCACCTAATGGCAAATGCATTGTAGTAAAAGAAATGTGTCATTGATTCCATAAGCATCAGGCTAAAAACCCAACGAAGTCCATACCACACCACTTTTTGCAATGAGTGCGTCTTCTGGGGAGTATCAAGCTGCAATGACAAGACATCAAGTAACAATGAGATTTGTGGACAGTGGTGCTCTTTATAAAAGAAGGTTATAGTGCTGGAACAAAACAAGTGGCTGATTCAAAATTTTACTCAACATTGCACTGAGGCAAGCAGGTATTGGACAAATATCACAGACAGTAAGAAGTAAGAACAGATTCAAGATTTAGCAGAAAAGACCATGACTGTAATCACAATATGTCAATAGTTCTTATCAGTCCTGCCTTCTGCTATATCTCACTGATGAGAACTACCAATGACCCTTAATATAGAGGAGAATGAAGACGATGCAGTCAACAGCATTTTTGCACGTATTGTTAACACCATAGAAGAGTATCTTCAGCACAAGTATAAAGACGTAAACAAGGAAAAAATATAACTACAGAATCATGATTACCTGTGAAGCAAATGCGTTGAAGCTAACAATTGGTCCAGCAATATATAGAGGTGCATAAATCAGATAACACAAGTATATAGTGAAGGAGAATTTGCCATTCTCAAGACTTCTCTCCTGCCAAAGGAGGAGGAGGAATGTAAGAAGATGGCTCCATAAGAAGTTTGTAGAGATGTGACCAAATATTTGAATCCAGAATTTGAATCACCAACTAACCTGCAATAGCTGGTAGCATGTTCTACCTGAAGAACAATTACTGCAGCGTTGGATGTGCTTCTGCAATTACCACAAGTACTAAATATCACAAGAGATGAACGAGATCTTTTTTGTTTGGCGATCACTTGCATGAAGTGGTAATCTTGCTATAGAGCAATTAAGAGAATGAACTAAACACCGAGAATCAATTACCAGATTTCACTACTTCACTTGACATGAGTATTTATGAAGAGGTGCTTTCGGAATAAAGATTCTTCAATAAATAATGTCCAAGGATGCTACTAAAGGAAAACATGATTCTTTAGCAACAAGGACATAAAGAAGTTATAGCATTTTCAGTAGATACCTTGGCAAGTGATACCTGAATTAAAGTTTCTCAGATCAGCAATTGCTAGTATTACTTGCCATAAGTTAGCACATATGAGTTCTTTTAAGAATGCATGCCAAGCATACAGTAAGCTTGTGATGTCTTTATTACTTATCAGAGTGTAAAGTACAGCTGCAGAAGGATTCATATGATGGTTCTGTAAAGTACATTCGACCAAAGAAAATGACTTCCTTTCCTGTATCAAATTATATATAGAGTGTCCAAGCAAAGTACCAAAAAGAAATCCTGATTCCCAAAGGCATCTAATGATCAGCTGAAAGATGTTCCGAGAACAAAATGCAACCAGCTAAACTGACAAGGTACTATCCTACATTTTTGTACATATGAATTAGCCAGAGATTGACTCCAATCTAAATGATTAATGAGATCTAGCTATACCATTCCAAGTGTTGTCAATGGTCTAAATCTTGCAACCTGATGGTAAGAACAGCTTTTCATTTATGAGAATCAACAGATGTTGGCCCATGAAAGAATGCCTTTGATAGGAGAAAAATCTCAGAATTAAAAAAAGGTTGGTTTCAAGCACAAGTGAGTTTAGCCAAAGTGGAGGAGATCTATAAGGTTGTTATCAAAAAGATTAAATAGTTCAGGTGGCAAACTTACCTCTTTGTCAAACCGATTCGAGTAATTTGCCCAATGGTAGTCATATCCAAAGCTAATC